TCCTCTGAAATCAATCATTCATCTTTTGAAAATACTTTTTTTGGATTTTATGCACGCGTAAATACCCATAAGGAATTCAAGTGTTCATATTTATCTCTACCTCTCTACTCTGTTTTCTTGTTTTATGCACACATGAACATGGTGTCTCATTCACATGTTTGTGCAAACCAAAAACAGAAAGAAAATGAATATGATATCTCATTCACTTATGCATTCAACCGAGCAAATTAGATGTTGAATATGGTGATCTACATGTGCATGCATCATATGAGTTGAAAAATGATGAACTTGGTGATTCATTCACATGTGCATTCAATCCATAAAATAAAGAATGGTGAATAGGACGACTCATTCACATGTGTATGTAGACAAAAATTGAAAGACAGCCGATACAGGTGATTCATTCGCGTGCATGCAATACATAAACTGAAAGATGATGAATACAAGGATTTCACATGTGAATGCACCACAAAAACTTGAAGGCGGTTAATCAATAGGAAGATTTTATTATAAATCTTTTAGTAGATCTTTTTTTGCAGATCATGAAATATTTTTTGTAGAATTTTTAGATGATAAATGAAATTTCCATAAATTGTGTTAAATTTTCTTTATTTAAAGGATTTAAATAAATGAAAATGATTTCATTGATGAAATATACCATTTTTGCATCTAATAAATTGTTTAAATAGTTATTTTTAATAACCACTGGCTTAGAGTTAATCAAAGTATAGTCTTAGAAAGAAGAGGGAGAGTTAAGGATTTACCCGGTGTGAGATATCACATTGTTCGAGAAACCCTAGATGCTGTCGGAGCAAAGGATTGTCAATAAGGGCGTTTTAGTGCGTGGTAGATTCTTATCCAAGACTTGTATCAATTGGTGATGCCATGTGAATCGCTAGAAGGATATTCTTTGGTTTTTTGTTTTTTTTTTATGGTTTTCCCCTGAACCTGACTAGGAGTGTTCAAAAAGCCGACCAACCCGGCCTAACCCAACGTGTAACCAAATCTGAAGCAACCCGATGTCTAATTAGTTGTAAAACCTTCAAAATGTATGTATTGGGTCGAAATTGGGTTACAATCATTTGAACCCAACCCAACTCAACTCGATGAACCCAATATCTTTTTATTTATTGGATTTAATATAAATGTTAAGTCCCTATTAATATGTATAATAGACAATTACACCATCACGTACCATTTACATATTCATATATTTCAATCTTTTCTCCATCTCTATATAACTCATTCATATGTATGTTCAGTAAATGTGAACACACGCATATGCAAATTGAGAAAAGTAGTTGAATGTGATATACTTAAGATATAAGGAGTATGGATAAGCTATACCAATTGATTAGTGATGGAAAATGAATTATGAGTAGATTCAAGGTTAGGAGAAAATTTTCATTGTACCAAAGTATCAACACAACCAACTCATACGGTTTGGGTTGGGTTGGGTTGAGCTTTTTCATATAAAAAATATTGGATTGAGTTGTTCAAAAGCCTTCAACCGACCAACCCAACCAATGAGCACCCCTAAACCTGACCATATATATAGGGTCAGGTTCAAGAGAGAACTACAAAAAAATGAACCGAGGAATACCCTAGTAAACATTCATCTAGACGGTATGCATATGTGTATACAAGTAATTTGTAAGCAATTTGTCTGATATCTACATGTGCATAACATGCACACGCACATAAAAACCAAAAAAACAACTTCAATTACTTGTATGTATATGTACATACCGTCTAGATGAATGGTTAACATGGTATTCTCAGTTTTTCATTTTTTGAGGGATTTTCTCTTGAACCTCTCTCTCTCTCTCTCTCTCTTTATATATATATATATATATATATATATATACACACACACATATGTATATACTCATATACACACTTACATAAGATAGAATCACAAAAAATGGTCCATGTGATTTTCATCTATTTGGTTTTCCTTATTTAACTTTTGAAATACACCCGACTTTGTAGTTTGCATTTCCTTATGAATTTCGACCCTCGCCTTAATGACCATTTTTTTTCTTTTCATAACTTTACTAGTTACATATGGAAATCATCCTCGTGGTTAACGGTCTAGTTTCATTTTGGTCCCCACAATTCGTTTATTACAAAAATACATTGTCATACGAATTTTTGTTTGGCTTTGGTCCCTCCTACTAATTTTTTGAGTTAAAGTTGTCATTTTAGAAAGAAAAAAAAACCTTTCTTTCCCTTTCTATCCCCTTATTATTTTCCAGTCGTCACTTCATCCCATTCCACCCCCACAAATCATAGTGGTGTTCCGCCCACCTCCTAATTTCCCCCTTCTCCCCCATCTTCTACTATCTCTGTCCATTCGATTGCATATGCTTCAGCTTATCCATCTACTTTGGCTTTTTCATATGCATATGCAAAATACGTAACCAACAAGTTTCTTGTTTAATCTTCTACACCTCGTTCCCATGCCAACCCGTGCCACCAATGTTTGAAACCCACTAAGATGGTTCTTGGATCTTGAAATAATTATAGAGAAAGTTGCAGATATTAATTGCATCAAAAATATTGAGTTCAAGTGAAAAGATGAAGGCCAAAGATCGACTTTCGATGGGGGACCCTATCCCTTCCACTTCTCTCTTTTCTTTTACTTGATCTCCTTATGTTAGAACACAAGTTTAAGTTTTTAGATTTTTAAGCTTTTGATTAGGGTTTGATCCGCAGTTTAAGTTTGCACAAACTTTGTTTTATGCTTCGTATATTCTTGATGTTATTGATATGTATGTGTTCCATATTTGAGATTATATGTATGGGTGATAGTGTGGTAAGAATAATAATCCACATCATTATCATGTCATATTTTCATGTAAAATGGTGATACTGCCTCTCATGTAATAGGACATAACGACTAAAAGTTAACAACTGCCAAAACCAAACTAAAACTCGTATCATAAGGTTTACCTATAATAATCGCAGTGACCAAAACCAAACAAACCCTGGACTATAGGAACAATGTCCATAATTTACTTTATTTTTTATTGTATGGGTGTGTAAAATATTTCAAAAGGAAAAAAAAATCAAAAACCCTATCTACCTCCCTGCATTATCTTTTGGAACCACTTGCAGCTTCGCTTTGCACCACCATTCAAGTTTTCTTGGTGAAACAGATTTCACCCCCATGTTACTTACACAAGCTTTTGTGCCTTCATTTTTTGCTTGTGATTTGGTATAGCGGTTCTCATTGTTTTATGTTTTTGATTGGTGATACCTTAAGTCGGAAAAAAAGACATTGATGCGTTTAAGTGACAAGAGTTGGTAGGAGTAACCATTTACTATTTTGAATCGGTGAATTCACAATCCTTGTTTTAGTGCAAAATATCGAGTAAGATATGACTTGTTCTTGAGATATTGAATTTGGAAGAAGATGATGGTGCAAGGATAATGGAAGAGATATTTGTAGGGAAAGTAGGAAGAGAGGTGGAAAGGACAATAATGGAAGAAGAGAGGGAGGTACAGAAATCAAAGAAACAATGGTAGGTAGGAGCATGAGTTGTTTGAGAGGAAAAAAGGTATTTAGTTACGGAGAAAGGAAATAGAAGAGGGTTGCAGAGTGGTGGACTGTAGAGAAGGATGATAGTTGGTAAATGTAAACAAGGGTTGATATAAGTATCCAACCAGAGGAGGAATGAGAAGTGGTTTAATATTAGTTTTTGTTTTTTGAAATCACAAATGCTTGTAATATTCTATAGGCAAAAGATTGTGTGAGAAGTTATGGTGAGAAGAGATATTAACCCTTGATCACTTTTAATCTCATGCCCACCCATGAACTGTGATTTAGAAGGGAATTAAATTTGGTGTATCTCGGTGCACTTCATTAGTGCTGACATTCAATCATGATTGATCCAGAGGTAGAGATCTCCTTTTACCTTTCTCACAGAAACCCAACCCAAATATATATATATATATATACACACACACACATTTGTAATATATATTTGGGTTGAAAAATGAAAAATGATCAAAATGCCCATGCGACTAGCATGTGAGGGCACTTACTGTAAAAAAAACTTAATAACCATTAGGATTAGGGATGAATTTGTAACAAAAAGAAAACTAAAGAGTACCGAGTGTAATTTCAAAAACCGAGTGAGTAAAACCAAAGTTTCTTTAAACCACAAGAATGATTTTTGTAACTTAGGGCTGTTTGGGGATTGCTGAATGATTTGGTGCAGAATGATTAAATCGTCAGAATGATTAAGAGACTCTCATGATATAGTGCAAAATAAAATATAACTATTTGGTAATTGTTTACAATGAAATTAAGGCGCTGAATGGTTAAGGGAGAGCCATGATATAAAATAATTAAGGGGTTGTTTGTTTACCTCTTAATAGTTCCATTAAGAGGCAACCTCTGAATCGTTAAGAGGTAAATCTTGTTTGGCAAAAAAAAAGTCTGCCTTTTAATTGTTCTAAAACCCGCTGAATGATTTTGTATCATGGATCTCCCTTAACCATTAAGAGCCTTAATTTCATTGTACACAATTACCACACAATTATATTTCATTTTGCACTATATCATGAGAGCTTCTTAATCATTCTGACCACTTAATCATTCTGCACCAAACCATTCAGCAATTGTCAAACAGCCCCTAATAGGGTTTTAGAACAATTAAGAGACAAATTTTTTTGCCAAATAAGATTCACCACTTAACGATTCAGAAGCGGATTTCTAATAAAACTATCAAAAAGTAAACAAACAACTCCTTACTTTACATAAAAAATGTTATTGTAGAAGAAGGACCACTTTGAGAAGGGATTTTTGATAGAAGGGTCGAAAGTGTAATATAAAAAAGGAGAGTGAAAAAAAATGCAAGAAATAAAATACATCAGGGACTTTTTTTGTAATTCACGAAATCGTTTTCTTACTCCGATGCAGAGTCCTCGTCCGAGTGTACTCCTTCAGTCTTCACGCTTTTAAACCCACTCGCCCTTCCAGACCCACTGCTGAGAGAAACCCCCTCTAAAAACCCTAGAAATCGACCCAAGGTGAAGCTCCATTTGAACAATGGTACTGCATTTTGGTTTTTAGCCTTCTAAAAACCCTAGAAATCGACCCAAGGTGAAGCTCCAAGTTCCTTTGTAAGTATCTCTCTGGAAACTTCATGAATAGCTGTTTACTTCATTGAATTTTGTTAGGTTTAGGCGGATCGGGTTGATAAAGTAACTTAATGAAGTTTTGAAATGGCATGAAAAGAAGTTGCTCAAAGTTTACAGGCGACGAGCGGATTTTCGTGCTTGTTTTTGAGATTTTGAATTGAAGCGAATGTGTGCTTGTTTGATCGGAAGGGTTTTTCTGTGTTAGTGATAATTCACTTTCGTATCTTTGACTTTTCCCTTCCTAGGTTTTTGCGCCACACGGCCTAGAACGTACATACGAGCCTAATTATCACCTTACAAAGGGTTTATCATAATCTCAACGGAAATCTCGTTATTTGTTAAAATGTTAGGTCATATCTGTTTTTTGATTTGGGTAAAAACCCGTGGGATTAGTTGAATTGAGCGGCCGGGACACCAGGTCACAAAAAACAATTGCATGATACAATGCAAGTAGGGCACATCAGTCGATATCTGTAGCCACGAAAAGAAGATTTAAAATCCGGGGACTTTGTGGAGTCTGGGATTTGAAAAATCTTCTGATGGCAACAATGGAACTTGAACTCGTGCGCCGGAAGCAAATCCAAACCTAAGATGTTACCAACTGAGCCACCCCTCAGGGTTATCATGTAATTGTTTCGGTGGAGGCTGGGGTTTGATAAACAGGGGATTTTAGCTATTTGCTTATGCATTGACCTATACATATCTATATGTTTATTTATGTAACTGTCATCATGGGTTGTGTTAATATAAAAATGTTCTCTTTTGAGTTCTGATCCTCATGCGCTGGATAAATAAATTACAAGCCCTAGGATTATTAAATATATGGTTATTGGAGTTTGTGAGGCTAAGCAAGTGAGATCGAATTCAAAAGGTGTGGAATACATAAAGATATCATGAAACTTTTGATGCATGTAATTGTACTTCGCTTTTACCTAGACTTTTTTTCTCTTCAGTGTCTTAAAGTGTTAAACGGTATAGACTAAAAGCAAAGGATATCCACTGCTTGCGAGGTTTTTGATACAGATGTTTCTTATGAACTTAGTTGGCAAATTTTCAGAAAGCGAATAACTTTACTTCAAACTGAACAGTACATCAAGAGTTAACAATCAGCGTGTTTTCTTTAGGAATCATTTTACCATTGGTTAGAATAATCTTGCTTTTAACCTGCTTCCGATCTTTTGTCTTGCACCACTGATTTTGAATGTATAGGTTGGATCGACTACATTCAGATAGCATGGAAGAGGCAGGACCGAGCTACAAGGAGAAGCCTTCAAATGGAGCAGTACATGTGGACTTAGACGAGGAATATGATGATGATGATGATATGATGGATGCACCTTCGATTAGGGATTTCGATGAAGTGTTCCTAAAGAACTTCTGTAGAAAGGCATCAACATCCTTTTTCAAACATTATGGTCTTATAAGTCATCAAACTAACTCATATAACGATTTCATCAAAGTAGGAATTCAGAATGTTTTTGACTCCATCGGTGAGATCATTGTTGAACCAGGGTATGATCCTTCAAAGAAGGGTGATAATGAATGGAGATACGCATCAATAAAGTTCGGGAAGGTCACTCTTGAGCGCCCAAGGTTTTGGACAGGAGAGAAATTTTCAACTGATAATGGTAAAGAGTACCTGGAGTTCTTGCCTAGACATGCACGTCTTCAGAATATGACTTATTCATCCAGAATGAGAGTTCAGTTCACAAAACAGGTAATATATCATACAGGTTTACTCTTTTAGCTTTGACTTTTCTTATATTGATATGTCATAATTTTGCTCCTGATAGATATATTTCTTCCTGCGTATGCCTACACTCCAATTGTTTGTATATATTGCACTCTAATGTAGTGTACTGCATATTTTTAATGTTGTTTGTATATATTGCTGCTTTGTGATCACTAAGCTGAAACCTTTGTAAGATGTCTTAAATTGCTAAAAAAAATATTTCTCGTTCTAAATTAGAACATATCATAACTTCATAAGTAGGTGGTTTGTAAAGAAGGGAATTCCTTTGATGTTTCTCTGAGCTGTTATGTCAAAACTTTAGGGTGGTGAGTAAGCACCTGCATATCATGGTTTTATTTGCTGTGTCTGTAGTTTACAGTTTACATGTCAAATGCAACTTTATGACACATCATGGTTTATTCTTTTAACTTTGTTTTCCTGGCCTCCAAGGGATCAGTTGCACATGTCCGCTGGGCCTTTTTCTTCAACAAAGTCCCAATCATTATACAAGTAACCAGTTATCAAGGCTTCTAAGTTAAGTTCAAACATCTGCAAATATGACTTATTTCTTGTTTCTGGTTTAAACTTGTAACCAAAATAAAGAAATTGTACACGTGCTTTATGGTCAAAATGAAATATCCAACATCCTTGTGCTTGCAGGCATAGTTGTCAAAGCGCGCCTGAGATGCGCCTAGGCTCTGAGGCTCATAAGGCTCATAAGGCTCAAGGTCTTGGGCTTTTTTTTTAAAGTTGAGGCTAAGTGTATTCACGAGGCTCACTAAGGCCTGCGCCTTGTGGGCCTAGCCGCGCCTCATAAAGAGTTATTAAATACCAAGTCAAACACCAATATTAAACAAGTTTTCTCATCTTTTTATCTTCTAGACGTCTTAAAAAAAGGGTTATCAAATAGATGACATAAGTAAAACCCTAATATTAAACACCCGGTTCTTATAACTTTAAGCCTCTTTCTCAATAAATACCCGGACCTTAAAACTTCTCCCTCATGGCTCACGCTTTAAACCCTTCTCCATTCTGCCTGTATCGAAGTACTGTTGGTTGCTGCAGTGGAGGTTTGTACTTGCTACATATTTGAGTTGTGTGTAACTGTGTGTGTGTATATATAAAGTATTTTTTTTTATATAAGATGTGCCTCACAGTCCTGAGGCCTGGCCTCACACCTAGGCCCCGGGACCCCTTTGCGCCTAAGTGCGCCTTGAGCCTTTAACAACTTTGCTTGCAGGCACCTTATTATATGTTTTGGCCTTGGGGCAATAGTGATACCGGATCGATTATGCTTGTCCTTGCAAATTTGATGTGTGAATCTGTGTTTGCTATATATGACATTTTAGGTGTATACTCAAGAGCTTGTTAGAAGTGACAAGTTCAAAACTGGAAAGGAGAAGTATCTGGACAAGAAAATCGTAGAGACCGAGGAGCGGGAGGTGTTTATCGGGAGGATTCCTGTGATGGTCAATTCTGACACGTGTTGGATGAGTTTAGCTGAAAAAGATGACTGTGATTATGATCAAGGAGGCTATTTTATAATCAAGGGAGCCGAGAAGGTGACTACAAATACTTTTCTTCTAGCCTTCTGTTTCTAGCTCATTTATATTATGATTCGCTTCATGAACTCAAGTTTCATGCTATAGTTGAATATGTTGTTGCATATTTGCGTTAGCCAAGTTTCATTCTGAGTCCCCACTCTCTCGTAGTAAAAATCCATTTGGCTATTTATATCACAAGCACATTTGATTAATGAGGTGTCATGGTTATCTATTGGTTTGGTTACAAATCCACAAAATCACTGATTTTGTATTAATTGAATTTGCCTTCTTAGAGCTTTATAACTTTTTTTAGTAGACAAAGTGCAGTTTTATCATTTGCAAAGCAATAGAGTTAATCTAAGTACCTGGCTTGAAATTTTGGTCTCTGCTAACCTTTGTACATGTCCAGATTACCAAACAACATACATTTCAGTTGTGATGTATAGTTACACATTCACATTGACACATGTATGCACACATAGTAAACATAGAAAAAAATAGAGGGGGTCGAAGATGATACTAATAGTCCAATACATGAGACACTATTATGTTTTCATGTAAAAGAACAATCATGAGCTAGTTATGTAAAAAGCACTATTATAGGCTTGTAGCAGTAAAATGTCTACTACTAGTTCATGTAGCATTATATGTGATCCATGGATTTGCAATATGGAGTTCATTTTGCTTTCATCATCTAAGCCATCTCATTATGCATGTAAGACATTGGGTGGATATTTTATCGTCATTTTTATTTAGGAACTTAATAATATCTTAAAGGGGGTTTGGTTTGATGGAATGGTTTTTAAAGGATTTTGGATTTTGTGGATTTGGAATTGGAGGGATTTGGATTTCGATGAATTTGGAATCTTTGGTGTGTTTGGTTTGTAAGATTTGGAATGGGACTGAATTTCATTCTTTATAAACAATTTATAAAAACAGATCATAAAAATAATTAAATTACTTTGTTATTAATTGATTATTACAAAATAAGTTTTTTAAACATATTTTAGAACATTATTACATACAAGTCCTACAAGATCCCATGAACTACCAGCCACCCTTGTCGGATTTTAAAATCCTATGTTTGTAGGATTTCAATGAAATCCTGAGAATTCAATTCCAAGAAATCCTTCAAACCAAATATGGGATAGAATGAAATTCAAGTCCAATTCCTTCCATATCCAATCCAATCTCTCAAACCAAACGAGACCTTAGTGTATTATGTAGATTGATTTTGTGGAAAAGCAACCTTTAGTTGGAGTTTGGAGTTTGAGATCATGCCAAACCCAGTGAATCCAGGGCAGAGGTAGGGGTGGGGGTAGGATACACTACTTACGTAGAACTTTCCTCTACCCAAGGGATAGAGAGACTGTTCCAGTGAAGACTCGCTTTGGAAAAAAAGAAACACAAGAGCGTGCACAACCACGATATTGATCACTTCTAACATTCACACTAAATACCCTCGTTATGAGAACACCTGTAGAAGCTAAGCTCCTCCATGTAGCATCCTCATCATCGTTAGACCTGTTGCAGTTGCACCATCTGACCAACATTGCTATTCTTGTTGAAGGCAGCACAACTCATAACCCATCGTGTTCTTTCACTATGCATGCTCTCTAGATTTATCTCGAAGAAATCTTCTAAGGATCTTGGAACAACGCGTGACCAAACCTCAGCAATTACTGGTCTTACACCAGAAATGCTATTGGTTCTTCCTAACATTCACACCAAATATACCAGTTATCCCCTCGTACACTATTACCTTGCTTAGAAAAGCTAAAACTCTTCTGAATGGCACTCATTAAGTCACTATTGAATTTGTTGCACCATAAGACCAAACCAAACCATACGATGCACAAAAAAGCCCAAGCCGGGCCTAGTAAGCCTGAACTCAGTCCCAGGCTTGACCTTAAACCCCGATCAGGCCAACGTTTTTTAAGGTCTGGTTAAAGCGTGCCTGAAAAAGCGATTGGGCCCTCTTTCAACCCCAAAGCTCAGCCTGGCCTGGGTCTGAAAAAGCTTTTTTCCTAACCAAGAACAGGCTTGGATGGCCTGGGCTCAGGTCTGAAAAGGCCCAGGTCTTGTGCATCTCTAAACCTAAACCAAACAAGCCCAATATATCCCACACAGAGTAGGGTTGTCGCACAGTATGACAAACACTGCTAAATTTTGTAGGAGTTGCCGAAGTGGTATGACTTATAGGCCAGTTGGGGTGGTCATGACAATTACAGTAATGTTGATCTTTTTTTTTCCGCATCTGTCGTATTCGGGAGAGCTTGCTCCGTGGCGGAGCGTTTAGCAATGCTAGCAGCCTGGTGAGGACTGGCTATCTGGGGACATTTTAAGGTAACCCTCTTCTTCACTAGGCACACTCTCGTTCATGCCAATCAACACATCTTATGGGATTTGGAAATTGCTATAAGATGGAGAGGGAGAGTTGAGGCATGCCATCCCATCAGCTTAGCATTAAACCTATCAATGAGAGCCTTCCAAGTAGAGCATCTTCTTTGATTTGCACCCATATGGATGTTCGAAGAGTTGAAGGGCAGCACCCTAATCAGCCGGAGGTGCACTATAGGACACTAACATATTTTTTTCCAACTGCGTGGTGTTTTTACTAGCTCCAAATAACTTACTCCTTTGTAAGTTAAGCAAAAAGGTTAGAAGGAAAGTATAGAAAAAGATTTTAGTCAAAACAGGCTTGATACCTGAACAAGCAATGCAGTCTACCATTAACAGCTCTAAACCTCTAAGCGACTAATTAAATGCAGCCATTAATTAACAGTACTTTTCTTGTCTTGGCCATGAAGTTGAACACGTCTTTATAGCAGCCAATCAACTGTTCATTTCTGCTTCCCATTTGTAAAAAATAAGATCTAGAGCTGCATGTTGGTCTCCGAATGCTAAAAATGGATGAGCAAAACCACAAAAAGGGAGGAACTAATTGAATCTAGAATCTGCTTGAGTTATGTGTAATAATTGCAACACCTTAAACCAAACCAAACCAAAACAAGCCCAATATATCCCACCAAAGGTGAGGCGTGGGGATGTAAGATGTTTGCAGACCTGAACTCCTCACTAACTCTATCCTCTACCTCTCTTGACCCCTTCCTCCCGTCTAGGCTAGCTATTAAGGCCCCAACCCTAGTCTTCTACCCTAATTGCAACACCTCAGATTTGTGAAATTCTAGTCTCTCAACCTCCCGGATCTCCAGAATTTTGTTTTCAAGCTTTTATTTTAATTTTGACAATGTTTATGGTTCTTTTCGTTTTCTTGTGGATTTTTGCAGTCATGAATTTATGGAGTTATTTGACCCACAAATGTAAAGGTTTGTTGCATTTTTTCAATTCCATAAATAGTTTGCATGTCTAAGACACCAAATATGATGGATTACACCATAACCTTTGCATAAACGGACTAAACTGGAGAAATTATTCAACAAATGTCTTTTTGTATGATGAGTGCCATTTTGTGAAAGAACAGGAAAAAGAATAAAAGTTCGGTTCTGCCTTTGTTCATCTGGATTGGTTTTGGGCCATAGCAGACTTAACTGGAAACCTTTTTTCTCAAATTATAGGACCAAGGACAAACACATTCGATTTGTTCCAGTTCACTTCACCTCGTCCAGATTGACTTGGGAGCGCCCAATAAAGTAATTAGTTGATGAATTTAAAGAATCTATCCTGCTTTCTTCGTCATAGTAATAATATACGTTTGGCTCTCCATCCAATCTATGTTGATATTTGAGGAGTATAGCCTTGTTTTTTTTAATCCGAAGTACATCACTTGTAAGAATATGCAAGTTCTAACAATTCATTTCCTTAGGTTTAGACTGATGGTTGGTAATCCTTATTGCAGACCTTCATTGCACAAGAGCAGCTTGGATTGAATAGAGTTTGGGTGGCGGGTTCTCCAAATTGGCGTGTGCAGTACCGTTCGGTTCACAAGAGGAAAAGGGTTTATGTGAAACTGGTAGACACTCCTAAAGTTGACGATATTGGAGGAGGAGCACAAGTGATAACGGTGTATATCTTGAGTTTGATGGATATACCAATATGGATACTCTTTTTTGCCCTTGGGGTAGCTTCAGATAAAGAAGTGGTTGACCTGATTGATGCCGACATTAAGGATGGAAATATTGTCAATATTTTAATTGCATCCATTCATGATGCTGATCAGACATGTGATGAATTTCGTAAAGGATGGAATTCACTAAATTTTGTTGACCAACTTCTCAAAAAAAGCAAATTTCCACCGAAAGAGTCTGTTAAAGAGTGCATTGAGAACTACTTATTTCCAAATATCATTGGCTTTGGTAGAAAAGCTCGGTACCTTGGGTATATGGTCAAGTGTCTTCTGGAAGGTTATACTGGTCGAAGGAAAGTTGATAACAAAGATGATTTTAGGAACAAGAGGTTGGAATTGGCTGGTGAGCTACTTGAGAGAGAGCTAAAAGTTCATCTTCGACATGCTGAGATGCGAATGGTGAAGTCCATGCAAAGGGATCTCTATCCGGATCGCAATTTGCAAGCAATGGAGCATTATTTGGATGCAGCAATTATTACAAATGGTCTTTCTCGGGCATTTTCGACGGGTTCCTGGTCACATTCATACAAAAACATGGAGAAGACCTCTGGTGTTGTGGCTATGCTTAGGAGGGCAAATCCTTTGCAGATGATTGCCGATATGAGGAGAACACGTCAGCAGGTACTATATGCTGGGAAGGCTGGAGATGCAAGATACCCGTAAGTGATTGAAGTTTGATAAATTGACCTTCTATTTAGCTTTTGTAGCCATTTTTTGATTGTATGGTTGGTAAAGTAGTCCTTCCATTATCCCGGCTAAAACCATCAAAGTTTTTTCATAGCAAGAGAGTGGATTTACCAATTTACAGAATATTTAAGTAGATTAACCACAAGGGTGGTGCCTGATTGGTTTGAGCTTGGCTCCAAAGGTCAAAAGTACCAGGAGGTCCCAGGTTCAAATCCAAGAAGGAATAAAAATCCCCTTGTGGCCACGGAGGTTCAAATGCGGTGACTCCGGGCTATCTGCAAAGCAGGTGGTCGCCCTGGGATTAGTCGGCTCGCATAGCGGGTTGGATATCCAGGTTAATAAAAAAAAGTAGATAGTTTATAACGTCATTTCTTGTCTTTTCGTCAATTGAATATTGTCATCTTTTTAATTTGTTATCTTTTTTGCCACATTACTTGTTTCCAAGCCTTACTTTGTGCTTCAATAGCAAACCAACTTGCTTTTGCCAATATACAACATATCATGTTATCTGTATAGTCTACCATTTTAAATCCACATCACTTCAAATTTTCTTCTAAAGGAAGTTTTTAAATATTTTAATGGATTTGGTCCATCCATTTGATAGATTGTATAAGGTACAAAATGCATATACACAGATTTGTGCATGTGTGTACCGAGGTAGCTATCAATTTCCACAAACAAGGAATTATTTTGAGGGAAAGATCGAATATCCATATCTTGTCGTATCATCATAGCAATTTTTTAACAGTTTTGCTTATTTCTTTTATGAATATGCAAATATGTCCATGATAAAGAAGGTATACACAATGAAGGCTTTCCTACTCTCTGATCTCCTTAATCATGAGCGGTGGAGTTTTTTTGAACAATTCATTTAATAATTGAAGGAGTGAGATGCTGATGTCTTTTCTGTAGTTCAACTTGTCTTTGTTTACACACTATCAGAAGTATGAGAGAAAACAAGAGTTCTTAATTTGTTAATTAACTATTACACATATCTCCTATTTATGAGTAAACTAACATCCAGCTAACAAATTATAAGCAGGACTGAAGAGAACAGTCCTAACTAACTGTACAGCTCTTACTTTGGGATAAGATCAACAACTTCAGACTTATGTTTAAGCAAATAAGTCGAAGTATAGCTGTAATCTTCAACAATAGTAGCTAAGTAACGATATCATCAGGTACCTTGTAAGGACCCCAAATGTTACAATGCATCAATTGAAATGATTCAGTACTCATATTATTTCAAGAGGCAAATGACAATTACCTTTGATTTGCTAAAGGACATATAGGACATGTGGCATTGTGGATTTTAGACTAGCATGAAGATCTTTGCATGTAACAGATAGTAAAATTTAGGTGCTAAACTTCTAATAGTTTAGGTTTTTTTTAAATAAGAAAAGAGATAAGTTTGACCTCAAAAGCCGTATTGTACCTTTTTTGTTTTTTAGACTTATTGAGTAGACTTCATATACATCTTGACTAAATACTAATAACCTTTTGCTTGATGGATGCAGACACCCTTCTCATTGGGGAAAGATTTGTTTTCTTTCTACCCCTGATGGGGAGAATTGTGGGTTGATAAAAAATTTGGCTGGCACTGCTCTTGTGTCAACAACTGTTCGGGAACGACTTTCTGACATACTGCTAAGCTGCGGAATGGAAAAATTGGTAGATGATACCTCCACTTTGCTCTCTGGACTGGATAAAGTTTTTGTCGATGGCGATTGGGTTGGAATTTGCAAAAATTCTGCTTCATTTGTGGCTGAGTTTAGGCGCCGGCGTCGTAGAAAGGAAGTACCTCATCAGGTCAGTTTCTCACTCTCTCCCCTTTCTTTTTTGTGGCTTTTAGGTTGCATATAATTTACCCAGCTCCAAAACAAGTCCCAGACATTCTGTTTTCTTAGATGTACCATATTAGTTGCAACTATTGATGTAGGTAAGCTTTTTACAACTTCTAGAAACAGTGTCATTAGCTTGTGACATGCAATATCATGCTTGTTTTTATCCGTCTCAGGTTGAAATAAAAAGAGATACCAAACATAAGGAAGTGCGCATATTTTGTGATGCTGGAAGGGTTATGCGTCCGCTTTTGGTTGTTCAGAATTTCCACAAAATTAAAACTCTAAAAGGGGGAGGATGCTCATTTCAAGATCTTTTAGACAATGGAGTTGTTGAACTGATTGGACCTGAAGAGGAAGAAGATTGCGTCACAGCATGGGACATCAAATATCTTTTTCTGGAAAATGATGGACATGACCCTTCAAAGTACACACATTGTGAACTAGATATGTCGTTCATGTTGGGTTTAAGCTGTGGCATTATCCCGTTTGCTAACCACGATCATGCCAAAAGGGTCCTCTTTCAGTCACAAAAGCACAGTCAGCAAGCAGTCGGGTACTCTTGCACAAACCCGGATATAAGACTCGACACTCTCTCTCATCAGTTGTTCTACCCACAGAGGCCACTTTTCAAGACCGTGCTTTCTGACTGTCTTGAAAAACCTGGTCAGCCTTTTGGTCAAAGTGTAAAGGGCACGATTCCTAGACCTGAGTTCTTCAACGGACAGTGTGCTATTGTAGCTGTCAATGTTCATCTTGGTTACAACCAAGAAGATTCATTGGTAATGAACAGTGCTTCCCTAGACCGTGGGATGTTTCGGTCGGAACACATTCGAAGTTACAAGGCTGAAGTTGATAACAAAGAAGCTTCGGGGAAGAAGAACTCTGACGATGCTGTGAACTTTGGGAAGATACAGAGCAAGATTGGACGGGTTGACAGTCTTGATGATGACGGGTTTCCCTTTATTGGTGCCAACTTGCAGAGTGGTGACATAGTGATCGGGAAACATACAGAATCGGGGTCCGATCATAGTATAAAACTGAAGCACACTGAAAGAGGCATGGTTCAAAAGGTTGTCTTATCAGCAAATGATGAAGGAAAGAACTTTGCTGTGGTATCTCTGAGACAGGTACTTTGCTTAATTCAGTACACTTAAACCTTTTAAATTTGTGTTATAATGAGGCAATGAACACAAAGATACGGATGCAAAAGATTATGCCCCATACTAGTTCTCACCATGCAATATCTATTTGTAAGGAACCAGTTAGCCTGAGCAATATGCAGTGGAAACTATTTGGGATTGGTTTGTTGTTTCATAGCTATATTGCCAATGGTAGTAAAATGGCATTATTTAGTTTTGATTTCTGTGGTTATATCTCTTTTCTTTTGTTCTTGCTAAAGCTGTGTTCTGATGCTTTTAGGTCCGGTCACCATGTCTTGGTGATAAATTTTCGAGCATGCATGGGCAAAAGGGTGTTTTGGGTTATTTAGAATCTCAAGAAAACTTCCCTTTCACTCTACAAGGGATAGTTCCGGATATTGTCATAAACCCACATGCCTTCCCCTCAAGACAAACTCCTGGGCAGATGCTAGAATCTGCGTTGGGCAAGGGAATTGCCTTAGGAGGTTCACAAAGATATGCGACTCCTTTTTCTTCTCTCTCTATTGATGCCATAACGGACCAGCTTCACAGGTAAACTACGCCCTTTCTTCCATGGGTGCCGAGATCTCAACTTATAGGTTCCAAGTTTTTCACTCTTTGAACTTATAAATAGATATGGGTTTTGCTGCAAATTTAAGCATAATGTTTGTCATTTCCAGTATTTCTTATACAAAGTGCAACGTAGCTATCAATCTGTTGTAAAAATGTAGAACATTTATTGAATTTGACACTGAAAATGACCTCATTTGAGTTTTGACTTCTAACTTCTAAAACCAAACCAAACAAGCCCAGTATATCCCATTCGGAGGTGGGGTCGGGAAAGCATCCTCTATACTAAAGAGTAGAGCGGTTGTTTTCATGAAGACGGGGCTTGTGAAAAATGTGCGAAAGAGAGATAAGTTTTGAAAACTAGTTATGAGTAAGCAATAAGATACAAATAGGAGCCAGGTAAATTTTGAGGAGTCAAAATTAGTGCTCTGGAGTGCCATTTCCTCTAATATTCTTGACTTTCTAAATTTCAGGGCTGGATTTTCGAGGTGGGGAAATGAGAGGTTATATGATGGCCGGACTGGTGAAATCGTCAAATCCCTTGTTTTCATGGGCCCCACCTTTTACCAGAGGCTGGTCCACATGTCTGAGGACAAAGTCAAGTTCCGAAACACAGGTCCTGTACACCCTCTCACCAGACAACCAGTGGCAGACCGGAAGCGATTTGGTGGGATCAAGTTCGGGGAGATGGAACGAGACTGCCTCATAGCCCATGGAGCCTCGGCTAATCTGCACGAACGTCTTTTCACTCTCAGTGACTGCTCCGAGATGCATGTCTGCCAAAAGTGCAAAAGAATGGCGAGCGTGATCCAGCGGTCGGTCCCCGGAGGCCAAAAGATCCGTGGACCCTATTGCCGGATCTGTGACTCGATGGAAGATGTGATAAAGGTAAATGTGCCTTATGGAGCCAAGTTACTGACTCAAGAGCTCTTCAGTATGGGGATTTCTCTCAAGTTTGATACTGAATTATGTTAAATCTGGTGGGGGGGAGGGTATGCAAACTCTGTTAAGCTTTTGGTAGATTTTTATTCTTGAAGTAGGAAGGAATGACTAATGATTTTGTTGAATGTAATGGTTGTACTGTATGCAGTGGGTAGTTGTACATTGCTCTGGATGCTGAACATGGTTAGTGTCTTTCTTCTGTAATCCTATCCAACGTCTTTTAGCTTTTGGATGGAAATGGGTTGGATCTGACCCCATCCATTTATGTGATCTGATACTCGATCCGATTGATCGACCAATTTAGGTGGATCAACAATGATTCGTGTACATTTTTATTTAATGATTATTTGTAATTATTTTTTGCTTTTAAACGACCTAATAAAAAAAATGGATAAATGGAATTATATATAATATTGCTTATTTGAAACAGCTTATGTTTTTTTTATTTACAAAAGTTCTTATTAACTTATTCTAAGTTTTAATGATTTAACTTCTTCAAAAACTTCTTATTATCGGTTTGGTATCGACATAAGTTGTTTATCCATACACTCAAAAGTGCTTATTACCGGTGTTACACCGGAATAGGTTAATAAGTTGTTTTTATAAGCAATTCCAAACACCCCCTTAATTAATAATACCTGAAACATCGGTTTACCAAAACCGATTGCTTTTCAATTTGACAGATTAGCAACAACGAGTTATCCTTATTATTATTAGTTGGGTAAACAATTACTATTTGTAAACATCGGTTTTTCAAGATTGATTGTCTGTTTCAGGTACATTTATAATTTATTTAAAGTCATGACGTTTAGAATACAGCCCACTATTTTAAAAGGTACACTTTATTATGCTAAATGTACAAGGTTTTATAGCAGCACAAACTCCCGACCCAACTCCTACCATCTTCCATGGTTAAATTAAACCATTTTAATTTATAAATTACACTTTATACCCTTATACTTAGTTATTTGATTTAAATTATATCCCTTGTTTTTTCATTTTTTATTTTACACCCTTAGCATATTAACAATTTAACATAGAAAATTGTGCATGAAATTAAACGCATTAAAATAATATGTTTCTTTGTTTACAAATTATACCATCAGAACCGTGTTGTCAATGCCTTTAAAATGAGCCAAATACTAATTTTTATTTATTTAATCACATTAATAAATATTATGAATACATAAGAATTAATTTGTTTTATATTTCTTACGTTTTCATTTTTCATTTTACACTTTTATCATATTTAAAATACATAATTATATAACTAAAATATATTAAAAAAGTGTTTTTTTTTGTTACAAATCTATCATATTTATCTATACTATATTATAAAACATGTTAAACGGTTATTGTTGAATTTTTAAAAGGTACATCCCTCTTTGCTTTAGGTACAAGTTTTTGAAGCTGCACAACCTCTTAAGATCAAATCATTTTTAAATTACATTTTATACTCTTATAATCCTTTGCCTCTTCGTTTTTTTGTTTTAGAGCATGATCATATTAACATAAATAATTTTATATTAACTAAAACACATTAAAAATAAGTTTTTTCGTTTACAAATTATACCGTTATAGTCATCTCGTCAATACCTTTAAAATAAGCCCAATATTAAATATTTTTGGACTTAATCATATATCAAATAACATAAATCATAGTTAATTATTTTTAAAACTTACATTTTATTCTTTATTTAATTTGTTTTATATCCTCTTAGAATTTTCATTTTACCCTTTACAATCTATACTATGATTCCATCTTCCCACTCCGCTTAAATCTCTCCTCAACGGGCCAACGCTCGCTCATTCTTCATCGAGTCTTTCCATGTTTTAAAAAGAGATAATTATGGAAGTTATTTTTTATTTTGTGATAACCGGGTTATTTGGTTATAAAGATCGGAGTGGTTTTTGAATAATGTTGGTAAATTGAGGGATTTACGTCGGTTATGTGCTAAGATTTTTTTTAAAACTTCACCGTTTCTTTCTTTAATTAATTATTTTAATGAGATAATTTCATTTATCTTACTGGGATGATGTTTGTTTAAAAAGGAAAAGTTGTTAAGACTTTTCTGTGTTATGTGATCTTTGAAACCGAGAAAAGAAAACCCGAAAGAGGAAGAAAAGAAGAACGTTGATTCCGTGAATTCTTAACTGGATTAGTTGCTATCCATCTCCATCGCTTCATATCTTTGTGATTAAAGTGAGTTTAATTTTACAAAATTTTCTTATTTGGAAACTGGATGTAAAACCGTATGGTTCTTTGTGAATTGTTATTATAAAACTGTTTTTGATGTCATAATTGTGAGACTTTGATATGTTTATATCATGTGTTGGAATAAGAGTGACATATCAAGGAGAGATGTATTTTGGTTATAAGGGTGACATATCAAGGAGAAATGTATTTTGGTTTTAAGGGTGACATATCAAGGAGTGGTGTATACTAGGATAAGGGTGGAAAAATCATGAGTTATAAAATCTGGGTTTTGATCAAACATTCATTGTTATTGCATTCTTATGATACGATGACTTTGAGTTGTTGCATCCGTGTGATGCGATGACTTAAAGTAATCGCATCCTATTGATGCGATAAAAAGTGGTTATCGTACCTATACGATGCGAGGAGTGAGTTTATTGCATTCTTGTGATGCGACAAGATTGACTTATCGCACCTGTGTGATGCAACAAGTTGGATTTATCGCACCAGTGTGATGCGATGAGTTGAGGTTCTCGCACCAGTGAGTTGTGAGGAGATGAGTTTGTCTCACCCATGTGATACGAGAAAATTATGTAATCATCTATATAATGCGACAAGTTTACTTAGAATGTGTTTATCGAGTTATTTGGATATTTGGATGCAATAAATGGGGTTTGTTATATCAAAATGATGCATGTTTGTTATTATTACAAATATGATTTCATAAATGCGATTTGGTGATTATTCACCCTGTAATAACATCAAATAAAATTCTTACTAGACCTCAAGGTCTAACCCTTATTTTGTGTTTAAAAAATGTGCATTACAGGTCGGGCACAACAAGAAGACAAGGGGAATGGAAAATTGTGAAGTGATAATATTATGTTTTCATGGGATATTGGACTAGCATAATTTTCTTTTGTAGCTGAATTTTTTGTACTTATTCAACTGTTGTATAGAAATTTTGTGGAAAAATTTGATAGCTACTTTGTATGGTAGCTTTTTTAGTTAGTGGGACCAAATTTTGTAAATTATATTTCATGATATATGGAAATATATGTATTTATGCAAATGTAATCTTACAATAATTAATTATTTTATTAATTGATTTTCTTTTTGATTTGGTTGTAATGTTATTTCAAAGATCATACATTCATAAACGAAACAGTCCCATGTTCATAAACAAACTACTCCTCACATGTTTATAAGTGAATCGCTTCTTCGTTCATAATTGAACCACTCCTATGTTTATAACTAAACAAAGCTAGTTTCAAATCAAACTAAATTTAACCATTTCATATCTAGTTTGGTTCCTCCTCAATTTGATACTGTTGTTGTCGGGTTGTACTGGTTTTTGCCTACTCCTAATGTCATAATACTAATTTCCCCGTAAAGACATTTGTTATAGACGTCGAGTGCAGGTGGCAATTAATTCAAATTCATAATTTTACTCATAAATGTAATGCTATAATCACTTTATGTTATATGCAATAAAAAGTTACATATTTATCTGCATTAAAATTTTTATCAGATTAAGTTGGTGTCACACTAGATCAAAGATCTAACGGCATCTACCCTTCTATTTTATGGTTGGTGTAGTTGGATTTATTGCATTCATCATTCATGTGTTCCATTTTTCGGGAAATGACCCAAGGTGCGGTCGTGATCGTTAGAGCTGGTAACACGTAAAAGTAAATCGTTATATTTATCCACTTTTCCGTTACCCGTTTATCAGCAGATTGGCTCATAACATAATAATGTAAATAAATATTTTAATAATTAAAACATTACTACAATTCCCTTAATTATCAATTTCACAACTGTATCACGGCGGCCGTTTCAAGGGTCTCCGCCGCCGATGGCTCTGGATTTCAGCCAATCAACGACATCGCCAAACACAACCTCCACGTCAGCATCGGGTTCTCCAACCAGTTGATGCCACATGCCAGGGTAGATCTTCATCGTCTTATCCTTACTGGCGGCGCGTCGGTAAAGGTCCTCTGCACAAGACGGGTCACAAACAACGTCATCGCCGCCGTGAACTATCAGAAATGGGATCTCCACCTCCGCGAACTTGCTCTGCATCTCCCTGCAAATCCGTAGGAGTTCTTGTGCCGTGGAGGCGCGTGGCCTCGCCACCGATCTTCTTGGACTAGCCATCGCTAATTTCCGTTTCCATTCCACCTTGAAGGATACATCTGGAATCGAGCCACGAGTGGGAACCACGCGCCACGTTGGTATCAACGCCGCGGCGACAGATAGGAAGTGCTCCAACGGCCATGGCGGTTTGTACTTGTCACTGATTCCACACATAGCACCGTTAAGGACGACACCGTCGTAGGGTTTGCCGGCTCCGTTGCGACGGAGAGTGATGAGGAGAGCGATGGCGCCACCGAGGGATTCCGAGTAGAGGAAGGAAGGAAGCGACGGCGCGTGCTTCTCACGGAAGGAATTGAAGAACGAGATGCAGTCGTCAACGACTGGATTAATATCAGGGATATGAAGTGGGAGACCTTCGGAGAAGCCGTGACCCTGGTGGTCGATCGCACAGACGGCGAAGCCGGCCTTAGCGAGGTGAACGGAGGTTAGTTGGACGAACCAGCTGGACTCGCCGGTATAACCGTGGACGACGCAGATGATGCCGATGATTTTGGTGGGCGGGAGTGGTGTCCATGACTGAGTGAAGAGTTTGAGTCCCCGTGGATTCGTAATGTGGTCGTGGGAGTGAGTGACGGCGTGGTGGGCGTAGAACTGTTCCGGCGTGAGTATACCAAAAGGGCTGGTCTCATTTGCTTCTGTAATGGGGTGCACCATTTTGGGTCGGTGGCGGTGGTTGATGACGACGGGCGGAGTGGTTGATTTATAGAAGTTTGGTAGGAGGGAGGCGAGTAAAGCGTTGTGGGTCACATTAAATGTTGGATGGTTACAAACTTACAATACAATTATGATGATTATATATTATTAGGTATGAGGTTGAATAAATTTATATTTGAAAGTTATTTAAAATATAAATTTATTCGGGTTCTAGAGAAGGATGCATTTTTGGTACATTGAAAGTTTTATTACACAACCAACCATTAAACAACTACTTTGGGTTGTTTCATTGTTTTTCAATCATCAATCCTATTCCTAAGAATGGGTTAACAACTTGTAATCCTCTCTTTTAATCCAAAATCGAAATAAATAATGGGGAACAGCTCTCCGTTACTTTACTACTGTGAGAGATGTGATTGGTTTGAGAAATGAAGGAGTCCCAAGAAGGGTACGGAGCCACGTCGGTCGGTCAGTCGGTTGGCGTGCTTACGGCGGGCTCACTACTTCCAACAGTTATTTTTACAAACAGTAATTGGTTTTATGTTTGCTGTTCAGCAGCAATGCCATGAGTTAAGAATAAACCATGTAATTATACAAAAATAAATGGCGAAATTTAAATCAAAGGAAGGATGGATTTGTTTTGTAAAAAGTAAGTTTGCGATGCATCCGACAATGATGATGGAATAAAATGTGCTATACACAAATTATACAGAATACATCTAACATAAACATAAACATAAACATAATCATAATCTACACAATCTTACTTGATTAATCTATGTGCAAATTCATGCCAGTTTCAATTGCTTGCAATATAGGACCATTATTGAACTCAAAGTTCCTGAAGCTTCTCCCTGGACCCCCTTTCTCTTTCTCTTTCTCTTTCTCAACCCATGGAGTCTCTGTTATCACCAAGTTACTACCCGAAGAACTGCCTCTTGCCTTCCACACGCTCATTGCTTCACAACCCGATAAATAAACCAATCACTGATTACAATTCATATACAAGGTGAGACAAAAGGAAGGAAGGAAGGAAGGAGAGAGATAACGAACCTCTAGCAGGTGCATCTAGTTTTGGTGTCACTGGTGGCTGATGCGAGGAAATCCACGATCTCAAAGATCTGATTCATGGAAGAAATAGACATATTTCTTTAACATTATAAAGGAACACGCAATAATAATACCAATGTTATGTACTTACTTCAAAAATGGAGCAACCATGTATAACTTAAGACCAGTTACACTACGTGATATTACATCCCGATTTGCCGGTTGAAGCTCATCAAGACGCTGCCATGCAATTTCCTGCAAACCATACAATTACTTAACTCAAACGCCTTGCTAACAGTTTTTCTGAATAAACAACAGTAATATCATTCATACTCCTATTTTCGTCTACCTTGCAAACCTTAATTTATCTTCCAAACTTCTGAAAGTTTCACAGCAGGGAACAAGAATATTGCATTTCTGGTTCTCAGTATATTGTAGTTTGGGACTTGGATCTTAACATTGTAAGGTCCTGACTATTATTTTGAACTTTCAATCAGCCTTCTTCAACAAATACGTCTTAAGGGGTTGACTGTCTTAAACATTGTTTTTTAACTAGCATTATACACACCCTCCCTTCTGGCTCTCATGTTCTTGTCCTCCCAATATCTATGTACACCCAGCTTATTTCAACTGCAAAAGATCAGAACATAACACACTCACTTTCAAACTCTAAACCTAAGCAAGCAATAATCCCAACCCAACCAACTTAAAATAGCATCATTTTGAACCACAACAGCCACAAATTTAATAATTCACAAGCACTATCATCTTGCCATTGCCATTGCCGACAAGTCTTGGGCCAATTAAACCACGCCATTTAAGATCTAAAACACAAACATTCTAATCTTTGGGTGGTAACCAAATACATATAAATAGCCTGATTAAGTTGGGTACACACTCATTCACCAGATTACATTAGACATCTCTTCGTTTGACCAACCTATTTCTCCCTTGCAAGTAAACATTCATATATCAAATCACATCACAATGAGATTCCTACTGCAGTAATGTTTCTGTAGCTCTTGGCATCATGCTGCGAAACAGACAAACCGTAGACCTCAAAGAGAAGAGAGGTAATGTGGGGATAGATTGTGAAGGAACAATAAGTACCACAGGTACTTCCTAGAGTTTATTTGAAAGATAAAATGGTCAAGTCATGAATTCGAGCAGTTTAAAATCACTGAAATGTGATTGGGACATCAACATGAAAGGCCCTGATCAAAACATTTTAAGCAATAAGAGCTGTGAAAGTGATAAGAATAAAAGGTAGGCCCGTATGTCCATAATCCCTAGCAAATAGCATGCAACATGTTAGGACAAAAAAACTGCCTCATAAGCTGATATTGAAACACATGTTTCAAAAATTACTTGTGTCAAGAATTTTCTGAAAATCACCCACCATGTGAGCACAGAGAGAAGGGAGAAGAAGTTGACGATGTTTGCATTTTCAGATGTCACAGATCACTTACACTGATCTCCTTTTTGGTTTGTGGGGCAAACGTTGTATCATCTTTCACACCTCCAACTATGTAGAGTCGCACCCTCTGTGGCCCAAATATTATTTCAATGTACTCATCTTTGTTAATAAGTTTTGAAACATTAAATCCTGTTTCTTCCAGAACCTGGCAGCCAATGAAGATAAATTAGTTACAATCCTATCATGACATGGGGATCACAGGTAGGTAAGCAAGCCTTATCGTATAAGAAAATAAAAGTTTACAGTTAAATAGTGATGCCCCAGAAAAGGTAAGCAAGCAAATATATTGGGATAGTGATAGCATTCAAAAGACAAGACTTCAACTCACAAAAGGTTGATCTCTAGAGCCTCATTATAAGAAGTACAAACATAACGGATGTGTAGCATTAAGCCATCAACCATTCACAAACCAAACATAGGACAAAATAAACGGTCATCAAGGACAAGCTAAGTATAATTGTATTCGGCCCTTGGGAGTAGCTCAACTAGTCAGGCCTTGGGTCTGCTCCCTATTGGTTACCAATTAGAGTCCCATCAGGGCCACTGGAGGTTGCCCGACCGTTAACCTCAGGGTCCCATGGGTTCGTCAAGTGCGTGCAAGCTGGCCCTGACACCCATGGTTATAGAAGTATAATTTTAGTTTCCGCACTTAGCCCATTAAGGGTTATTCTTTGTGACCTTAACCACAATCAAATCTTGTAAAGAGGAAATAGTTCATTAGAGAGACGAAACAGATAATATCATGCAAGAAACACTGATATTTACCTCTCTGATAGCACAAGCATCGTCTTCCTCATCTTTGTTCTTTTTCCCTCTGGGAAAACTCCAGCTTGTGCCCTTCCATCCTTTAACTAGTACACACTGCAGTTGCAAAGAAATCAATCTTTTTTGAGGTCGCACATTCAATGATTGCTCTAGGCCGACTTATGCGGGCATTAAGGATAAAAAACAAGCTATCCAAAAGTCAACGCTGCATGTTGAGAAGTGTATGTGGAAAGACAATTTAATTCGTTACAAGATGCAATGCAGTATAGTTTTCACTACTACCGTACTCTCAAGTGCTCCAGGAAATAAGTCACTCCAGTACTTACTCAAGAACGCATGGGATCAAGCAACACCACCTGATTTCTGCAAATTTCTATAGCATGCAGGTGCAAGATTAAACGATATAAAGTATTTTGACGGAATTTGGATAGGTTTAAGTATATGAATCAACAGCTTTGAAAAATATCACAAAACTGCGGCAGTTATCGAACCAGTGTAAACACACGTAATGGTGTTTACTCATATAATATTAACTTCCCTTGCATATATTAATCTCGATATTATAGATACACAAAAACAGTAGCCTCTTGCTATTCCTGTCCCCTCTGACTGCCGTACGCCTCACCTTTCCTGTTCTTCTTGTCATGCTAATCAAAGTCAAACTCAACAATTTTTCCATTTGGCATGGTTCTATGGCATCTTGTCCTTCATGGTTTGGGGCAGAAAGAAGCCAAAACACTGTTACCCAGCCTTGAGAGTGCCAGTAAAATTACCTTGCTTTGCATGCTTAAGAAAGCGATCAGTTTTGATCTAATGAAGTGCTACCTCAGTATCTGATGACATATTATCCAAAAAAGAGTTACCAATTTTGACCCACTTATGTGTTGTTCCGATTTGGATTTTTCTAGTTTGGTAATCCATAGGCCACATAGAGCTTTCACCAAGAAAATCCGTACGATGACTATCTTAAACTGATGCTGGCTGGACCAGCTGGTGACATGGGAAATTGGAAAACATCTTTTTCATTGGGAGCTGAAGCAACATGGCCATGGATTCCAGCTAAAAAGATAACTATCACAGAATAACTAAGATTCTGTTTGCAAACTGTTCAGTTGTTACCATACAGGGTTATTATGATATTTGATCAGTTCTACGATTTTGGTAAGCATTGGTTAGAATTTTGCTGATCCATTCTATTTTGAAGTTTTTATCTACTTACATGGTCTTTGGTTGGCTCGAAAGACTGAAAATGCTTCAATTGAGGTGAAAAAAGTAGTCCGGACCATATATGAATATGATGCCTTAATGTTGCATAGTTAATTTACTATAATCACTAACATTTGTAACGTCCTATTAGCTTGTTTAGATGTATTTGGTATTGTGGCCAGGGATAATCTATTAAGGCTTATATGCATGCATGTGCATATCCAGAAAAAGAAATTGTAGCATTTGTTGTATAACAAAATGTTGTAGTGCATCCTTGAGAAAAATCTGTAATGGTAATGCATGCCCAAAGTTGGAAATTTGAGATCCACCACTGACCAAGACTAATATCATCTCCTAAGAAACAACTTGATTTTATGTTTGAATTACCACTGTGCCAATCTTATGCTTATAGCCTTCGCTGGCCAGTTATCTACAAGAACAACTCCTCAAGTAAAAAGAGAGACACTGTAGACTTCAGAGGTCAAAAGGATTGCTTGTTAAATCCAATATCAATTGTGGTTCTGTTAAATGCTGCTAGCTTAATACCAATGTCATTTATCTGTTTGTTTATGGAGCTTAATGAGTTTACTAGTTTGCCTCAGCACAACTGAAGAATGCATATCAATCCTGAAGTTGAAAAGTAGTCCATCCCAAATATCAAAATGTAAATCTTTTTTTTTGGAATAGAGAGTGTTAATCACACTTGTAATTGATCCTCATTAGTCTTCTTCACCTGCTTCAAATGCTTGTCAGATTAGGTTCTCTCTCCTAACAATTCGCTGCCATTCTACTAAAGTGAAAGCTCACTGCTTTATATTGCTAAAAGAAATAGATGACACATGGCTGAGAGAGGTTGACTAGGAAAGAAAAATGATTTTCCCATCCATGCCTGCCTGCCTACTATCATACGCAACCACAACAGAAACCCCATCATAGTTTGATCAAATTATAAAATGACTTGAGCAGCATCAGAAAGATAAACATTTAAAAATCATCCACCAAGCACCAAAACACATAAAAAAATTAATTGATAAGAAACCTTACCCTTTCATATGTTTGATCCAAAATAATTGCCCCCGTTACAGGAACTCGAACCTTGTATGATGTGAAATCTTTGAATATGTCATCTATGTGGGGGACATAAGGCTTTAAAACATCACAACTGCTAAACACTATAACAGGTTAAGGAAGGCAAAGGATGTCTGGAAACATGCAGTATAGTAATTTTATTAAGCATTTAACACCTCCCTCCACCCTTCAGAAATTCCCTACCGGAGCAAGTAATACTAGGATTAAAAAGAGTCCATACAATCAAATTTATGAGAAAAGAAAATTTTGCCATGAGGTTCGCATAAATAATAACTATAACTTAAAAAGTAGTAACATATGGAATTTCCTCCATAGATGTAAATGCTAATTGTAAAGCCCACATGAACAGATGGAAGCACAATAATCCATAGAATACATCCTAACAAATTCTTACCTAACACTGTTAAGTAACGAAACGATTAGTAGGAAAGGATACTTAAAGTGGTAAACTCCTTCAAAGTGAATGACTTCAAAGATGGATTATTTTCCACGGAATTGTCCTCATAGAACCAATGTGCATACTCCACGAGAAATAAAATCCTCTCAAATGATTGCTGATCCTCCTTCGGCACATTCAGAACAAAGCGACTATAATTTGAGGACAAATGATTATTAGAGCTTGTTGTAAATAATTGGAATGCATAAAATTTTTAATTAGAACAAACAACACTACAAGTGCAAGAGATAAGAATTTAAAAACATTAATCATATCAAAAAAGAACGGAATCACCTGCCCTCAAAATGGATGAGACAAGCAATCGAGAGCATACACATATTCGAAGAGTTCAAATGAAGCAAAATAGTATATTGATGGCTACAATATTAAAATCCACTGATAATAGGCAATAAAGTAATATCAAACATTGCATATCTACAAATTATTTAGTCATATTAGAACCGGCCAACCAGGTTTTTTGATCATGTCTTTATCAAAGAGTCAAACTCCAGAAACAAACAAGGAAGTGAAGAAAATAAATCTTCAATTTCTGAATTATATATACCTGGAAGATGATTAGTAGAATCACCAATCTTTATGTTTAATAGATTCATAATTCTCTCTATACTTGCCTTTCATCTAAGGTCAGGATTACTTCTTTTCCTCCCATAATTATTACTTGAAAAATCATATAAGAAAGACAAACTTGCAATAAGCTTCAGTCAATCACCAGCCAGGCCTCTTTTTCCTGCTTTCAACTATCATCCAGTTTCCCAAATGATTCAATAATTCATTCACCAACCTACAAAGAGAACTCTTGGATCTTCTTTTTCTTCTTAAGAACCTGAAGGCGGACAAATCCGTCTTGGTGCTCCTAGTCCATATGGATTGGCTACCGGGTGTTCACTCAAACTAAAAGAAAAAAAAGGAATATAATATAGAATCCGGATCCTCATTTCCTGCCTGCTTCCGACTATTATCCAGTTTCCTAAATAATTCAATGATTCAATCACCCTTCATATAAGACAATTAGATTTAATTTGATTCAAAACCAAAGAATGTAGACGCAAAACTTGGACCTCAAATTTTGTAACACCCAAGCCCAAGTCAACAAACGTACTCAATGGCCTCTGAATGAACTTAAAACTATGTTGGAAAGTTATTCCTAACTCATTACTAAGAACTTGCATAACACGACTCACAGCTCATATCATGATCGATGTAGAATAGAATGTCAGAAAATTCGAAGCTTAAACTTCTGACCAAACAGAATTCCAGAATCATTATCATCAGAAAAACGTTACACTTCCAAGGGGCCATTGCTTTATACCATTTGTAGCACCCCAAGCCTGAGTGCAGAGTTATTAGTAGAACATTGTTAGGACTTAAGAGCTCACAACTTATATCACATATTTGGTACCTACCATAATATCAATTGCTTCCGCTACCAACTTCTTGAAAAGACAAGAATACGTAGAGATGCATATTTCAACCATGAACCAGAGCAAAGAACATAACAAAATGTAGAAGAAATCCAGCCTCTTCCATCCTACTTCCAACCACCCATCCCCGTAAATTAACATAATCTAGAACTTGGATCAACTTTCAAAACCCTGATACTAAATTTCGCATCATAAAATTCAATCGCTACAAAGAAACACAATATTACATGCATAAATGAAAAAGAATACCTGCAGAGATCATCAAGTAGTTCTTTAGGAGGGATGCCGTCTTTCAAAGGAGCACTCGAAGATCTATGAAGCCCAGCTGACGACATTCCTTTTCCGTTTTTTATTTTCTATTAACTAACAACTACTACTATTACAACTTACTGTTATTTCTTGGATCGAAGAACCCTAGAAAAAACACCACCTGATGAAAATTGGCAATCTGCTGAAGAATGAAGTGAAACTGAAAGTAAAAGAACATCTGATATGAAACCCTAAGAAAACCCTAATTGTATGTGTACCTCAAGTAATTGACTGATGAAGAAGATGAAAGATGAGGATGAAGATCAAGAGGAGCTCTTCGAATTATTGAAGACAGCTCCTCTTTATAATTTGGGGCTTTTAATTCAATTCTATTCATTTATTATTCTAGGCACTACGTTCTAGTTTATATCAATATTATATATCTTTACAACTACCCATCAAGTTTCACAAATATCAATTCTGGTCACTAAACTTTTCTTTATTCTATTTTAATCCCTATTTTAAAAAATGCTTTACATCTTCGTTTTTAACGTTATTAAGGGCTTCCTTTTCTATAGCACAAATGAGGGCATAATTCAAAAAATCATCACCAATTCGATTACGTAAATCTGTCTTGACAAGCTTCATCGCTGAAAAGCATCTTTCAACCGTAGCAGTTACAACAGGCAAAACTAGTGTTAGTTTCAATAACCGGTAGACTGAAAGATGAGAAAGATGCATTCTTGTTGCCACCATTAATCTAGCGAGGTTGGCAATACCGTTTAAGTTAGCAAATCTGATATAATTATAAACAGAATGATAGTAGATGTCAAGTTTGTGCTCAAGAATGATCATTTCCTTGTCTTCAAAATCTCGGGGATACATCTCACTCAACTTCAATAGGCTTGATTTGTTAAACTGAGAAAACGAATTGCGTGGATTCAAAGCTGCCATATTTTGAAGCAAGTCGGTGCTTGTCTCACCAAACTCTCGGATTTGCGTATCCAAAACAGTGTTGAATATATCATAGTTATAATAATGTTGATTGTTAATGTTCATCATTTTCCTTAAATTTCTTGTATTAACATAAGCTTCAGCCATATCCAACTTCACAATCTTATGTTTATCACAAAAAGAGTAGCATTTCTCCAAATCGAGTCAATACCGAGTCTTCAAGACTCGTTCCAATCGATGAATCAAATCGATTCTCGCTGTTGTTGTGTTGTCGCCATGTCGTTGTCGCTCACTCGCTCACTCGCACCAGATCCTTCGTCGTCGCTCATTCGCACTCGCACCAACAGTTGGTATATGCGTTTAGGGCTTTAAGCCTTAAGGCTGTTGTAGACTGCAGTTGGCACTTCACTTGGGCTTACTTATTTGATTAATCTATTTTTTGGGCTTTGCAGTTTGCAATTTGGAGATGTCAATTGGGCTTTGCATTTTATTTGGGCTTTATTTTGTTTGGGTTTTAGTTGCTCTGTTTGAATTTCAGGAAAATACGGTAGTACCTTCCAAAACGATACGGTAACACCGTTAACAAACCTAAAATTTTTACCCTTCGGTGGCGAAATAATATGGTGGCACGTGCCACCCATGCCACCACACCAGGTCCGCCCCTGATATAGATCCGAAAATAATTACAAAAAATATTGTTTTTATAGGAACGATAAACAACTCCTAAACTTGTACCCGACGCGTCTTCATCTTTTGAAAACGGTCAATATATGCCCAAAAATAATTAAAAAAAGTATGGTTTTTATAGGATTGAGAAACAACTCCTAAATTTGTCCTCGGTGTATCTTTTGGAAACGATCGATGACATCTTCATTTTCAACATTATTATGTGCTTCATTTTCTATGGCACAAATGATGGCAGAACTCAAAAAGTCATCATCAATTAGATTACGTAAATGACTAAATCTAAAAAGTGAAAACAAAGACCAAAGTCACCAAATAGCCATGTAGCAAGTGAGAATCGTTCGAAAATCGCCACTTGAGAGTTGAGAATCGTTCGAGTCAATTTTCGATTTCCGTCACTCGCTGCTGTCTGGTTTGGACTTGCTTGCCGACTTGGACCTGTTCCTGTTTGTTCTCGTTGGCCGGTTGCCAAGTTTTAATTAGGCTTCGCATATTAGGCTTTTGATTTTGCAATTTAGGCTTTGTTTTATTTGGGTTTTAGTTGCACGATTTGGTTGTCAGGAAAATACGGTAGCACCTTCTAAAACGATACGGTTGCACCGTTCACAAACCTAAATTTTTTACTCTTCGACGGAGAAATAATACGGTGGCATGTGCCACCTAAACCACCCAACTGGGCTTGTCCATGGTTGCTTGCAAGTTGAACAAATGTTCTAGACGTAGACTTCAAGTTGTTCATGTTTGTTGACGTGTAAAAGCTAAAAAGTAGTTCGTTAATTTTGCTAAGATGAACTGATTATCTTCATCGTTCATCTTTATTGTTTTTCTAAATGAATTATATAAAAAAAACCTTAATCTTTCGATCTTTTCCCAACGGTTGTGTTGGTGTCATCAAGATTTCAAGAAAGATTAGACGGGTTTTTCAATCTTCTCCAATAGCTTCATCAATACTTTCTTTGTCAGCTGCATTCTTTAACCCGTTAGAAATCAATTCTCAATGTATCAAAAACCACTTTCAGTGCTCCACCTGGCTTTCTAAAATTTCTTATGACCAATTCGTTTTGAAAATCAACTTTTGTTGATAATATGTTCACTTTTTTCTCATATCAACAAAAGAAAAGAAACTCGAGTAAATACACGTTAGCTTTAAAATTTGCCACATATTATAACAAGGGTTGTACATAAAACCAATGGGCCGATTACCCAAGCCAAAAAACAACTTAACCCTTACCACCAGCCCAGGTAGAAGCCTAATAAGTCCATAAAGCTTACAAGTCAGAGATATTTAGGTCAAAAATGAGTAAGACCCAACCCAATCAGATGACTGAACTTTTTGTTTCGTTTGAATTTTTTTCCCTCTAATATTGCTTGTGGACGATGCTATCTTCTTTATGGAACATTATATTATGTGAAATCGTGTTTATGATTATATTTGAATGATTGTAATATTTTACTGGTCAAGTCTTGAAAAGGGGTTCGAAGTCCACTAAGATGTCAGTTTTAACACTTTGTTTTGGTTTCAAATAAACGAAAGGTTGGATAATTGTATGTCAAAATAGAATTTTTGGTGGTTTTAGAGATTTCTTTTTGTTCCAACAAGTATGCTAGAATGAATGTTAAGATAGAAAAAAGAATACAGAGAAGGTGAAAATCTTCAAATTCAAGAAATCTTTAAAACTCAATATTTAAGAGAGAGAAACAATATTTTAATATTAGAGAAAGTAAAATCTTAAAATATATTGAATACTTTAATAATATAACTGATGTTAGAATCTCTAAAATATAGCAGTTGTTGGGATTTGATATAATTTCTTTTAAATCTTAACTTTTGATACTAAGAAAAAATACAGTATAATGGATGGAGATGCTTTAATAAGTAAATAGATATGGTTAGAAATATTTCATCCAAACTTAAATATATGGGCCATTTACCAAACTCTTATCGGATAAGCATTTACCGAGTATAACTTACCTTACCATTCAGCATCGCCATGATTGATGATCTTATTCTCCATGATCAATGATCTTACTCAACAAAAAGCATAGTAGTGACTAAAAATCTTAACCGGTAAGTGAGTGTGAATACTCTTACCCAATAAGCACTTACCAGGTAAAAAACGTTTACCACAATCCATCTTGATGGCCTAGAATGTTACTTAGCAAAGGTAATTGAAGGTGATGACTCTTGCCGGTAAGCACTTGTCCGGTAAGTGTTTGGTAAAAGACCTCTTAGTTACGTCCATTTTGAAACACCTTTAGATATAATTTTGCTTAAGTATCTCCAAATATACATGATGTTTTTGTCGTAAGCAAGGTTCAATTCAATTTTATTTTACCGTCGGCTTGTAATCGTTGCAACTTGTTTAAGAGTAAATTACAGAAAAGTCAACATGTTGACAAAAAAACAAGAGTTAAACTGTTGACTTATCATAATTTGGCACAATCACAGGTCAAAATTGTTTGAACTAATTATGGATCGTCAAGCAACAAAGATTTTAAGAAGAAAGTGAAAAGACAATAACACCCCTTGACCAAAACCATGCTATATACTACATACTACATTTCATGGGTTATCAAATCATGTGGATGCCATATACCAAAAATTCAAGAAAAACGAAGGCAAACCAACTAAGAAAGGCCACAGCCATGGAGGTCTTCAACATCTAACAGGAACACGGACGGGTGGCTTCTACTGTTTATTGATGCATATTACTTAAAATTCAAGATTACAAGTAAATTGTGCATAAGTACAACTTATTAAAACTCTATGTTTGAATTCGTATAACTAACTGCGGATAAACATAATCAAATAGAGGATAAACATCTCATTTTATAATATAAAAAATCTAAAATATAATTAGGATAATTATTGAGCTCTAACAGAATACTTAATTATTATCTTTATAAAAATATATTATTAAACCTAAATTAAGTTAATTTGATACTAATATTAATATATTTTTTGCAAAATTAATATGATATTTTCAAATTTATATTTTATTTAAAAATAGAAACATTATCTCTTTTTGAAAACCACATAAAATCGTATTATGTCGACATAGATAAAAAATAAAAACGAAACATTGAAATTGAAATGTGTCTCGATGCATTGCACGAGTACCCTTCTAGTAAATATAAATACAAACAAATATATATAGGCATCTTTTTTTTGTAAACCAAATCATTAATATTAACTTTGTTAACTTAAATGGGCCAATCAGAATTCACCTACTCACTTAGTTTCATCCCACACTTGCTACATATTATGAGGGTATTTTGGTATTTTTCTGTTTTTATTAAAAAGTATGGTTAATAAATATATAAATAAAGAGAGAAAATTGTTTGATAGTTAGTTGCCTTAATTATCTCACAAATAATTACGGATGGTTTTTAAATTTTATTGGTTTTGAATAATTTCTTTTTCTTCCAAAAGTTGTTCATTGCATTCATTAGCAGAGTTGTAGGTGTAAGGACGAGGTCGACACTTGATGAAGTAAGGCTGCCAAAAAAGGGAGATGTCAATAGAGTTGGTTGAAGCCTGCAAGTGAGGAAGAGAGACATTGAAGGTTGCCGGTAAGGATCGAACGAGGGGTTGAATTGTTGAATGTTGACAGTGAGGATGAGGGGATAATAAAAAGTTCGAGAACGAAGGGGAGATGGTCGTGAGGGTGTTGTGATGAAGGTGAGAGGCTGGAGAATTGGTAGAGGCTTCTGGTGGTTACAAGATGGTAGTTGAC